AAAAACAATGTGTCCTGTCCCGATCGTCCGCTCCTTCCGTGTGCCACGCCCCCTCGTTAGCCCTGTGTGGAATCCCCGTGTCATCAGCTGTTTCTGGTTGTTGTCATTAGTCCTCTGTATTAAGTCCGCGTTTCAGTTTGTTTCCCCAGCCTGGTCATTGTATTGTCCGTCTGCGTTTTGCCTGCCTTACCTGTAATTAAACCCCATATTCCCTGACACCCTGACGTCTGCGCCTTTGTCTCCGTTCCGTCCCCGCTCGGCACGACAATTTTATTAATATTAAAATAATTAATAAGAAATCTATATTTTTAAATGTATTTTATTATATAATGATAATTACTGTTACTGTCTATCATTGTCTAAATGTATTTTTACTGTCTAAATATATGTATTCAGCTAGTGTAAACATGCATGATGCTATCACAGTGAATGCGAGGCTGAGACTGAAGCGTTACCCTTTGTTTCTACTGAGAAACGTGCCGCTTGTCACGCCCGGCTCGTCCGATCCTCGTGTGTGCCACGCCTCCCCATTATCCACGTGTACCACCTTGATTGTTCCCAGCTGTTTGATGTTAGTTTTGGCCTGTTTAGTGTATATTAGTCCAAGTCTACCTCTGTTTCCCAGATCTGTCATTAACGTTCATCCTGTGATATTCTCCGTGCATCCAAATAAACCCCATTTACCCGTATTTACAGCTCCGTTCGTCTGCTTCCCGGCTTCCTGCTTGTTCGCTTGTGCATCGACGTGACACCACGTCACTCATTTCCCCGCGTGTACGGCATTCACGATTTGAATGCTGAGATTCAGATCGAGTTCTAGGTAATTCTTTTTCGAACTGGTTGGTTCGACTTTTAAGAAATTCGAGTTCTAATGAGTTCAAGAAATGAGGTACCACTGTATTTGCTAAAGTATTAAGCTGATAAAAGAAAGACTTAACAATCTTGACAAACACACACATAAGTGTGTAACACGTTACTTCATCATTTCCTGTTTCGCTCCTCTTACCTTGAGATTTCGTTCCTCATGATTCCTTTTTTACCCATTTTTCCTGCCTTGGGTGTATGTCAGGCTTCAAATGCTCACTACGGGTGAGACTGTAGCTCCTCCCCTGGAGAAACTCAACTGCTCAAAGCTGTGTTGTTTTTTTCTCAGCAGAAACACCAGCTAAGGAGTCCTTACAGTTATTTCCAGTGGAGAGTCTGAACAGGGAGTTAATGCCTTACTGTATTACTATCATTTTAAGATGTCCCACGATGCAAAGTGTGCAGATTTTGTTAAATCTGTGTGTTTTAGATTGAAACAGATTCAGTCATCCTTGCTTTCTCATTGTCCATTATCTAGGACTGTTTAACATACCCAGTACTGCAGAATGACTGAGGGTGACGAAACACAGGGCAACTTTTTGAGCAATGTTACTGGGCAATGTTGCTTGGGCATTTTTCCATTGATATTGGGCAATAAATTTCTATTTGAATTTTTTTTTATTAGCAGTGGTCAACTGTGATCACCCTGATCCAGACGTGTTGTCCTTTGTCTCATCTGTTGCCCGGCAACATTGCTCAAAAAGTTGCCCTGTGTATCATCACCGTAAGTTTGATGGCTGGTCCTCTCCATGGCCCTGGGAACATTCATCATTCATCTCAATCACAAATGGACCATAGTGTAACGTATAAATAAATGATGACTACCTGAGAAGTTCGATGGCTGGTCCTCTCCATGGCCCTGGGAAAATTCATCATTCATCTCAATCACAAATGGATCATAGTGTAACATATAAATGAATGATGACTACCTGAGATTTCTGTAATATTTTAATTTCCCTGTTTTCTTTTTTTTTTACCTCTACATCTGCGATTGAAATGTCTGCTGATTTCGGTCAGAAGCTCCTGAATTAAGCAGGTGCATGATCTAGGTCCTACTGCTCATCTGGTTGATCTATGCAGCCTGACAAACATGAAGATTTGAAGAAACTGCACCAGCCAGTCAGCCACATCGACAGTGGATCCACCACACGCCATTCTCTTGCCACCGGAGTGTGACCATGAATTTGAGATTTCCAATGATGTTTTCTTGGAAATTCCTCGCCAGTTGGTTATGTTTTGTTTAATTTATCTCCAGCACTAAAATGCTAGGAGGGCCACAGGATTATCTAAGGGGGCCACGGGTGGGATGTGACGGCCCCACAGTGAGCCGGGCTGGCCCTGCCCCCCCCCCCCCCCCCCCTCTGAGTCAGAACTTGGATAAAAACATCACGAAAACGTCACTTCCCGTCGGAAACACATCTCCTTTCTGACGTCCATGTCGGACAGAATTTTGTTGTCTGAGATTCCCCTGTGACTTTTTGTTCATTTATTTAGTTAAATGTATTAATAGTTATAAATATAATTGTACATGGTTGATTTACAGAATACCATATCATGACCGTAAACAGTATACTACAGTAGCATGCAATATCAGAATTTTACTCAACTTGTTGGTGTCTTTTGTTTGTTTGTAATTTGTTTGCCTCTCGAAAAAATAATATCACTATGGATCTACTAAAACATTTTATAAAGCTTTTAATGTGGTTTCACTAGTTCGTGTTTCTTGTTTGTTGGTCTCTCGGAAAAAAGAATCTCACTCCAAATCTGCTAAAATATAAAGCAACAACACACAGCAGCGTGTTCATGGAGGCAGCCATGTTTGTTCCGAGATGTGTAGCTCGAACAGGAGATTGGTCGGACATGACGTCACACACCTCAGAATTTCCGACTTCCGAGAGATAACCGAATGCAGGATATGTTCTGTAATGTACCCTGATTTACATATAAGAAAGACATTGCTGTTGCTGTATTCCCAGGCAAATTTTGTCATTTGTGCTACAATCCTTAGCATGCTTGTTTTAACGCCTCCATTTAACACTTACACCAGAACATGCTTTTCATGTTTTAAAACATATTACCTTGTTTGTTAAAACTTTGTATTCCTTGGTTTGGCAGAAAATTTGTCAGCCAGTTGCTAAGTTTTTCACCTGCATTTGATTGATGCCATGTAACTTTGAAGATGAGCATGAAAACATCTGAGATCTAACTCATTAAGTCTGTGATAGTGCCAGTCACAGTGCAAAAAATAATGTGTTTTTGGTCTGATTTTGCAGATTGTATCAAGGAGGAGCAATGGTGCAGATTTAAAGTGTGATTATGATAATAACCAGGGTCTGTGACATTTCGGGCTCAATTGACAGGCTAATGGACATTTTAAAGGTGCCGTAGAATGAAAATCTGAATTTACCTCAGCATAGTTGAAAAAGAAGAGTTTGGTACATGTATATTATATACAGTGAATCTCAAACACTGTTCTTCCCTCTTTCAAATATAATTCCTGAATATGTAAAAGAAGTGTAGGTTGGTTACTGTTACCACGACAACCATCCCTGTTTAGGATATGACATCAGTGGCTATAGAGCAGGTTGGAATATCGGAGTGGAAAGAACAAGGTGCGTGTACTGAATAAAGGATCCAGACTAGTTGTTACGCAGCTTGTGAGTGTCTGTGGTCTGTGTGTGCATATCTACATGGTGTCAAAAGAAAGCTGATATAAAGAATTGCTCAAGGACTACACTGTATTGACCTGCTTGTCTTTGACGAAAACATCGCTGATAACTGGGTGAATGGTGCCTGTATAGCAACCCCGGGTTCTCGGTAGTGAAAGCCTATACCTTTCTCAACCTTGCTGGTCCTGATGCATTGGATAAATATGACACCTTCTCTTTTGAGGAAGAAGAGGACCCAGAGAACTCCGAAGTGCTGGTGAGGAAATTTCAGGAATTATGCCTTCCCGTACAGAATGTGATAGTGGACAGACACACGTTCAATACAACGTGCCAGAAGCCCCATGAGACGATGCAATCGTATGTATATCCACGTTAAAAATGCTTGCAAAAAAATGTGAGCTTGGCATGCTATATTACGAACTTCAGTGGTACCTCGGTTCTCGAACTCACTAGAACTCGAATTTCTTGAAAGCCGAACAAACCATTTTGACCTAGAACTCGATCTGAATATCAGAAGTCGAACCGTGAACACCGACCTAATATAAATTGTACG